CAAACTCCTTCCTACCTATAGAGGCAGCATATGTATGCAGCTCCGTATGCCGAAACGATCTGGCTAGGGGATATGGAATTCCAAAGCGCCTGCTGGGGCCGTCGCAGCAAGCGCTCGCCGGGGAAGAAGGAGACGGGAATAGCGACATAGTAGTCGTCTCATGCAGCGACCAGAGAGGTTCGGGCAGGGATCCTGGGACGATGCTGGATGCTGTATCCATAGGTACTTTGTACAGTGCAAACTGCGCTATCAGGCACTCTCATTACCTACTACTAAGTAAGGTAAGGCAGTTTGCTCAATCTTGATGGGGGGCGCATCTATAATAATTCCTACTGCAATGTTGTTGAAGACGACTGGCTATCTCAAACGGATCAAGATGGCATCGCCCATCTGGTCTGGATCCCGAATGACGACCACATGCATGCGCAATCACGCAGTCTCTCGTCCATCCATTCGCACCGCTACAGCTGCAAATTCTGCCGTCTGCTTCTATCCTCTCTTTTCTTGCTCTTCTCATCGTTGTCAGACGTGGGATTCATGGAATGACTGGAATGCAGCCCAACGCGAAAATCTGTAAACGACGTCACCGGTGCTGCCCCCCCAGCACCAATCCCGCCCGTTCGGACCAGGGTTAGGGGGTTGGGGGACTGCAAAAGAACGTCAAAACCCGGAACCCAGAGAAAAGGCTCAGATTGAATGGAGGGGGGGAAATACCTAGACGTTGCATCTCGACATTCGCCTTTCCCATCGCGTGTGGAAACACACAAGCCAACTCTTACTAGTAGTATTACGGAGTACATGCCTACCTACCTAGTAGTCCCTTAGTGCCAAGTGCGCCCGGCTCGAGCCGCTGCGAATGAAATGGATGAACAGCCATTAAACCCGAAAAAAGAAGGTTGAAGGAGTAATAGAGAAGAGAAGAGTGAAAGAAAAAAAAAGCACTCAAGCCCAACTGTGGGGTTTGGGGAGCGGCTCGTCTCTGCCCGTTTCTGTTGGCGCCGCGCCACCTTTTTCGTTTGGGTTGTCGCCTCTGGATTGTGAAACGCCTCATGGCCTTTTTTGGCTGAAACCAGAGGTCCTTGTTGAACTGAGTGTTTTTTTTTTTTCTTCCCTTCACTCTTGTTGTTGGAGATGCAGTTATCAGTTGGTGAAGCTTGGTCGGTCAGGTTGACCGCGTCTTTCGTCCTGAACATCGCCACTCGTGGAGACTGGACAGCGCAGCGGTTCTGGTCGTTGGACAGCAGGGCCTTGTTCAACTGCCAGCTGTCCTCGGGCAAATTTTCTTGGGCTTTACAGCCAGCCTTGCCGTCTTTACGTAGTCACGGCCTCGAGAATGAACTGCACGCCATGGGAAGCGGTCATTCATACTCAAGCTTGGTGTCTATGAGGGCAAAGGGGGGGAACATATGTATGTTCCGAGTTCATACGCCTCTCCAACCCTCCGGATGGGACTTGGTTACGACTGCTACCACCACCACCACCACTGCCACTGCCATTCCCTCCAAGTCCGACTGTAAGGTCTCTCTTTCTGACTCTCAATCACGTCTTTCAGCCCAACTTTGTGGGAGCAAATTTCTTCTTAGGGCCCTGTTGGGTATCAACCGCAGAGTACCACCCTCATCCCGACAAGACAACGAAGAGCTCTCGTCACTTGTGCTCGCCGCTTCTACTCAAACGCCCGTCAAGAACGGGTAGGTAATGGCATGGAAAACTTCATCATGAAGCAACTTACTGTCCATGGCTGTTAATCCAGCTTGATGCACGGTGAAATAGAGACAAGATGATAAAAGCCAGATGCGCGTCCCTGGGCGTATGCGGATGCTCCGTCGTACGCCAGCTCAACCCCCCTCCCCTCCCCATAATACACACACTACATATGCCCATTGAGGCCCAATCGTCGACGGCTGTCGTCATGCAGCCTGGCCCCCTACCAAAGCACAACTACAGGCTGAAAAGCTCTCTCTGCGAGGTCTAAGCACTCAACCCCCCCCTTCCCTTCCTCTCGTGCAGTTTCTGCTCCGAGTCATACTCGTGCTGCTCCATTTTCTCGGGTCAAGCCTGTCCCCAGCATCTTTCATCCTCTCTGATCTGTCCTTGTCTTTTCTCGTTTCTTTTCGGCCGACGGATGACTCGACAATGTGCATAGCGTTGCGAAGAAGGGCTCCATGCATGATCGACCAAGCTCGCACACGCCCCCCCCCCCCTCCCCCCCTTGTTCACAGTTTATATTAAACCGCTTGCCCACTGTCTGTCTCCCATGTCCGCTGCTTCTGCTTGTCCCGCAGCAGCTCACAGCCGGGCTGCAAGCTGTTGTTGTTCCGAACGCTACGGAATCCCTTCCTTTTGCTCGTCAGCATGTTTTGTAGTGCTCATACAGTAAGTGAGTAGCTAATGCTCATGGTCGTCCTCATACTACCGAGTAACACCTGCTATAGTAGCAGCACTGGCACAGGTGCCTTTCTGTAACACTCCGTACAAGCCATTTGAGCTCCTTTATTGAAGCATTCTGATCCCTCGTCCTTCATATTTCGTGTCCCGGCCCCACCTCCGGGACCCCGTCTTTTTTGCGTGTCTCGGCTTCCGGCCTGGCCCGTCTTACGTTGGCCTCCACAAGAGCAGCTACATACTATGGTACTTACATATGTAAGATGTCTGATTTGCCTTCTGATTGAACTGCCATGTTCGAAGTTTTGGGGTCCTTTTGTTGCTGTTTCAGTTGTTGTCCTTCTGCACAGTGCTATTGGCGTTTTGCCTAGCCCCCTCCCCCCTTCGAACTCGTGCGTTCTAGAACTCCCATGGCGAAAATCGAATCACATGTCCTCAAGGCATCAAGACGTCCACGCAAAGACGCACATGAAAGGTGCGTCTCGCACGGAGGAGGACAACTCAGATAACAGCACTTGCATACAAAATCCGAGCGAATGCGAAGATTCCAGCTTGCCCACTTGCTTGTACATCGTGAGCCGAATCTGTTCGAAAAGCACCCGTTACAAGAAGCTCTCTCGTCAAGTATTTATCAAATCAAGTTCAGCAAGACAGAACTAGACAGTGTAGGGATAGTACGCCTCATAGAGTACACCGCGCTAGGCAGCACCTCGTGGCGCATATCAACATCTCGTGATTCCCACATACCTCCTACCTCACACCTCCCACCTCCCACCTCACACCTCACACACACACACACACACACACTTACACAAAAAGAACAAGAAAGAAGGCAGGAGGAAGTCTAGCAAAAGAACTGTCAAAATCGGTAAACGTCGTCGATGTGATTGGCAGTGGGAGAAAGTGGCACAAAGGCGGTCTTTCTGCTTCGTCTGTGTTTTGTCTTGCTTGATGCGATGCTTGATGCGATGCTAGTTTCTTTCACGGGTTTGCTGTGTGAGGTTAAGATGCTAGTAGGTAGGTGAGATGTGTAGCTCAACTAGGATTGTTTCTTTTTCTCAAGAAAGAAGAATATCTCGTTGAAATTGTTCGGCTTGGCATATGAATTCCCTGATTTTGGTGCAAGTTTTCCAGGTCGTTGCACTGCACGAGCAAAGTCCAAGATGTTTTGTTTCCCAAGGATTTTTCGTGCATTGTACGTGATGCCGTGGCAAAGAAGCGGTACTTTGCAGGCAGACAATGCAGTCTGCTTAACAAGCAGCAACCCTCCACCTGGCTTTTCCCTCCCGTCGTACAGGGATGTTTTTCTTGGATGCAAGTGCATACATGTGTGTGTACTGTAAGCTCTCTTTCTTTGTCCCACAGTACCTAGGTAAAGCATGAGAATGGCTGCTTGTAGATGCGCAAAGGAAGCAGGTAAGATGGCCTTCTTACCAACAGGCCGACGTACTTTATGATTTGTTTTCACCCGGCATATGAGTGCATACAGCCAGTCGGACATTGTACAAGCTAAATCTGAGGAAAGGTTGATACTTGTAATGGGGCCTTGTGATGGACATGTGTGCAGTCACTTCGGCCATACTCTCGCCTTGTTACCCAGAACGTACATCAGTAAGTTGGATGCATTGTATGTGAGCATCCTACTAACTTATATCAACAACACCACCCATGGTATCAAACAAACGAGGACTTTAATGGGAGAACATGTAGATTACTGAAGTGGTAAGCATATCCGGTCCAATGTCAAGCAGTATGTGTCATATCGGCTCACCCACTACGAAATGCACTGGAACAATCGCTTCTTTCTGAAATAGCAGTTCTCGTCAAGATTAATTCAATCCTCATTACGTGTCGTGATCTCGTCGAAGCGAGGACAAAGGGAACTGGTCATATGCAGGTGAGAGGTCATTCAAGTGCTTTTCGTCACTGTACGAGGAGAAAAAAAGATAACGACCCAGAAACTCCGTTGCTGCATATTCGTCGTATCCTATTCGCCGTCTTATCTATTCCAGCGATATAATACCAATGAAATTGGCAATCTGCTGAAGAAAGTATTTCCAAGCTGCGAGCAGGATGCAGTTGAGTGCATCTCTCAAACCAACCAGCTTGACGCCTCTTGACCGCCTTTTGTGCGCATGCGAGTCCGAGTCCGTTGAGGCTATTGATTTGATGCAAAGCGCCATGTCTGTCGATGCGTTGCATCAACGACTGTTGATGCCTGTCCCTATGGGAAGGGCAGCACTGCGAAGGAGATGCGACTGGAATCCTTCTCTGCGGCGATGACTGCATGCAGCTGCATGGTGCCCGTTTGTGGCCTCTCTTCAACAGACCAGGTGATAGATGCTAAGGAATCTCATTTCGTTCGTTTCCAGTCCCAGTTCCAAGTCCCGCTCCAATTCATTGCGTTTTTTTCTTCATTTCTTCTCGTGTGTATGCGTGCATGAAAATCATGTCCAATACTCCGTGTCATAATGTCAGTTGGAGACAGTGCCACTCGGGGAGCACGGCTCCGGGTATCATTATCCTCCCGAGATTTCAAAGGGTTCTTTTTGTTTTTCCTTGCAAGAGATGTTTGATCATAAAGGACATCACTTCCCAGGATTCACTCTCCCATCTCATGACGAAGGGTCCACGGCAATCTCCAGATCAGACACGACGGCTCTGTGGTCCGACAGGCGAACCTGATCGTCAAAGATGTTCTCCAGGACGCTAAACGTCTTGACGACGGCGGTGCGAGGCTCCTGGATAAACAGAAAATCGATGCGCTGCGGCCACTCGTTGGCCTCGCCAAAGCTCGTGTACGTCAGGCTGTTGCCGTTGTGCTGGTCGGCGGGCAACAGGGCAGCCAGGTCGGACATGCCCGACCCGGGCGCCGTCATGAGGCGGTAGGCCACGTCATCGGGCGTGCTGTTGAAGTCGCCGCCAATGAGGACGGCCGAGTTGCTTCCACTGCTGTTGCTGCTGCCGTCGTTGCCGTTGCCGTTGCCATCATCGTTGTCGTCGTCGTCGACGCCCCATTCGCGGGCGTACTGCATGAGCTGCTGGGCGCTGTGCTGGCGGGCCTTTGCGCTCTTGTGGTCAAAGTGGGTGCTCATGACGACGACGCGGGTGCCGGTGCCCTTGTGGGTGAAGTCGCCCATGGTGACGACGCGGTTGTGGCTGGCGCCCCAGCCTCGCGACGGCTTCTCGGGCGTCGGGCTGAGCCAGCGCGTCTGCGAGCGCTCGAGATACCAGACGTCGGAGCGGTAGAAGACGGGCGAGTACTCGCCCTTTTGCCGGCCGTCCTCGCGGGCCCGGCCGATGGACGCCCACCGCGGGCCGAGGCTGGCCTGGATGTCCTCGAGCTGCTCGTGCAGCACCTCCTGCAGGCACAGGAAGGCGTTTTCGTGGCCGGCGGTGATGAAGCCGAGCTGGTTGAGCAGCCGGGGGCCGCGCTCCTTCCAGGGCTTCTCTCCCCGGACCGGGCTCGTGGTGGCGTAGCGGACGTTGAAGGTGACAATCCGGAGGGGGATGGTAGGGCTGAGCTGCGTCACGTCCATCCTGGTGGCGTCGTAGTCGAGGGGATCCGGCGTCGTGAGGCTGCTGCTGAACTCGAGGCCGCTGTCGCGGTGCGTGCCCGTGTCGAACAGCGATCCAAGGGACGAGTCGCCCTCGAGGAAGAAGAGCGCGCTGCTCCAGGCGACCAGGCCGCAGATGACGAGGACGACGATGACGACAGAGCGCAACATTGCTGGGGGGGAGACTGCTGGCCGGCTTGGATCTCGCTGCGGCCGCAGAGCGTCGCACAGCCGGGCGAGCCTTGATCTTTTAACTTGATTTGAGTCCTGGTCTAAGATCCCCATTCCCTGGACTTTTTATTTTTTGAGCGAAGCCGGAGCTGGCAGGAGAATCGAAACAAAGATCGATGATGTGAGCAATCGGATCGTCGGATTCTTCACGTGGGGCAAGCTGTCGAGGTGTGCGGAGTACTATCACCAAGAGACTCGCCACGAGTCAAAGGAGACGGTGGGAAAAAAAAAAGATGAAAGAAGAGATGAAAAAAATGCGGAGGGGAATCTGACGGCTACAATGTTCCAAGAATTGGGAATATATACCTGGTCGGTCCCGTATGAGGTCAAGAATTTGGTTGGTTGGAGTGCAGAGTCTACTATCCGGAGATCCGGAGGCAGCTGGAGGCTTCAATGGCCTTTATGTAATCGGCCGGCCGTCTCGAGGAACCCGCGATGAACGAAAAAGGACTTCTACTAGGGACTACTAGGTAGGTAGGCACTCGTAATAGTAGTAAGAAAGGCCACATCCCGTGCGGGCCGAGTTCAGGTAAACGAGACGAAAACGAGGGAAAAAAGGCCGAGTGCAGGCTGCTTGGCGCTCGGAGCCGTGTTGCTGTTTTCTTTCTGGTTCCGACAGGGACTACGACAGCGGGCTACGTAAGGCAAGGCGCAAGGGCGATTGATTCCGTGGGGGGGGAGGAGAACGGATTCTGGTGCAAATAGATAACATGTACCTACGAGTACGGAGGAATCATGCCCTCTAACCAGGTATCTACAGGTAGGCAATCGGAGTTGCGATACACGTACATGCCTCTGCTGGCGATGACGGGGGACCGGGGGGGAAGCCATCATGATAGGCTGGACGGGGGTTACACGGGGTTGATGAGAGGATTCGACGCTCTGTGATTCGATGATTCTTGGTGTCTGGCAAGTTCTGGGTCAACGACCCGGCGTCTGCATGCCAAGAAGATGCAGGGCCGCTCGTTCTCCTCCATCCGGCACACCTGCGGCCGAAGTGGCGGGATTGGGCGGGAAGATGGGCGACGACGGGGTGAGCAAGGCATGTCTATCTGTGTTACAAGCAGGCGGTTGTACAAATCGTAATGCTGCCGTCGAGGGCGGCTCATTGATTCACGAAGCAAGAAGAATTGAGCAGAGCAAGAGGCAGAGAAAAGACCGGCGCAAGGATGATTGATGCCAACAAGCAGGACAGGACCACGGGCAGAGGAGACGCTTGTTGGTCTGGAATCTGGATGGTGGCCTGAGCTATCGAGAGACACGCAAGTGCCGCGCAAGCCGCAATTTGACAAGGGCGGGATTGCATCGTGGCCTGTCCGGGCACATGAGCCTCGCTGACGGATCCAGAGGCAACTGGGAATCTTGAAGACGGATAGATTGAAGCCATGGGAATTCAAGAGCCGGGCTATTGCATCTGCTTTATATCAGCCAGCCATGATTTATCTAAGTTTTTTTTTGGAGTGATTGCAATTGTCGATTGTGGAATGGATGGATGGATGGATGGCTCAAGATCTCCGTGGATGTACGGACATCTAAGCTCCGAACTGCGACACTGGGGGGGCTCCGCTCACCAAGTTTCCGATGGCCGACATGGCGTCATCGGCTCGTGCAAAAGCTGCGGGAATCGAGCAGGGGTTCATCAAGCAGGATCATGTAAGCAAACGGAAAAGACAGCGAGAGCAACATGGATGAAGAAGGGTTGAATCAAATGAGGGCATCAGGTGCTGGGGTCACGACCAAGTACTTAGGAAAGCTTGGCAGCAGTGCGGGACGAGATGCAGCAAGCAGAGGCATGGATCTGCCGTGATGCTTTTTGCTTTATCACTGATCTAGGTACTACCTCTCTGGATGTAGGAGGATGGCAACAAAGTAATGAGCAAGGTTTGGGTTGGGTGTCATTCATTTGGCAGTTCGTGAGCCTTGCGAGAGGAATCGACGATCCAAGCGCAATGAATGGATCTGGCATGATCACGACTCATGGCTCGACCGTTTTTCTTTTTCTTTAAATTCAGATGGTCACGCCTACCGAGTCCCCGTGCTGCGTCTTGTCCAGAATACCGGGAAATGCTCAAAGGAAAAGACGTCTCGCCCGGTTTCTATGACGCAGGGGACATTCTTCCTGAGTGAATTTCGGATGCTTGTCCCATGTCACGCTTGGTTCTATAATCCGCTACGGGTTGTATAGCTGTCAAGTGAAGAGTCTCATGAGGATCAGACTTTTTTTTCCCATTTCGAGTCCTTGTTTCTCGACGAGATTTGGAAAAACAATACAGACTTTGAGTTATGTACTTTGTGTGTGTGAACAACTCCCCATCTTACAGGCCAGGCAACTGCTTCTATATCGGGACGTAGCAACTTGACTTGGAACGCTTCTGGAATACCTACTTTGTGCATCGCCTCCCCATCTACGCGTCGTCAGCACGATATGATGTCGCCGTTGCGTATCCTTCTCTGTCTGCTCTTCGCCCGCACTAAATAATAACGAACAAACCATTCAAGCCTTGAAAAAAAAAAATCGTGAGCTGACTGACCACCCCCGCCCCTCCTCTCCAGAAGAACGACCGGGGAGTTTTGACGATCGACCGCCATCGTGCTCAGCTCAAAACGGCCGCATTTGTCGCGCAAGGGAGAGGCTGGAGCAAATCAGCAGACGCAAGGGAGTCCGACCCACCATAGCTGAGGAGAGCTCTCTCTCTCTCTCTCTCTCTCTGTGTGTGTGTGTGTGTATGTGTGTGTGCGCGCGCTATCGCGAGCTCGTATCAGTCCGTTTCTGGAGAAAGGGTTGTCTTTGGTGTAGGGGGTGGTGACCTTCTGTGTGAGATGAGAGCTTCCGGAAGCGGCAGCCTGGTCGGATCCAGATGGCATCACGGCTCTTGTTGCGTTTGCCTACATCCTCGCTCTTGTTGAGTGAGGGTGATGACAATGATCCAACAGCCAGCCGACGCTCCCGCGCCGCGCCGCAGCTAGTTTGCCCGCGTTCCATTTTTATCCTTTTGCCTCTCATTCTTTGATTTTGTAAAGAGGTGACGAATTATCAATCTTACACTAATAGTAAGGTAGGCAGATAGTGCATACAGTAGTAAGTAGTAGCAGCTTCTGATCGACGCGGTGATGTGCACACCGCTTCACCCCATTTCACCTCACAACACCAACCACCAGTCGGCAGCAACAGGAAGGGGAAAAAAAACCTCCTTCATGCAAGGAACCATGCATAAGTTCAGCACCCAAGATTGGATCCGAGAAATGTGTGTTTTGCATCTTGCCAGTCATGCATCTCGTCCGATCGAGCAGAACAACGGTCGATCGGAAAGAAAAACCAGCATGGAAATCATGCAGACGGGCATTTTCATGGACTGAGAAGGGGGGGGGCATGACCTGAGTCTTAACCCACCAGATGGAGAAAGTCGAGCATCATGCCTCACTTCTGCCCATGTAAGTATCCATATAGCACGTTCATGATGCTACTCCCAGAGCACTGGCTCCAGCGGGAGGGGGAAAAAAAAGAGTCATCTGGTCTTGTGGTTTGTCTTAGTGGGCGTGTTAGTCTCTCAGCTTACATGGAACATGTGCGTAGAACAAGACAACCACCACCAACAAGGAAGAGCCTCCTCCTCCTCCTCCTCCGAAGAACCCACATACTACCCTTGCATGATCGCTACCTACTAGTGGGATTGTGTCTGTCTGTCTGGCTGTCTGTGTCTCTTACTGCCCCGCGTCTTTGTCTGATCTGACACGGGCCGCTCATTCGCCGCCTGGTTTGATGATTGCCAACCGCCGTGCTGGAATGCAAAAAGCCCATGGCTGGAGACTATTTGCCCATAGGCGGGAAACGAGTGAAATTATCAGCGCTGCTCGCTCTCACGCCATAACAAGACTATTACCAGAGGCCGCACATATACACACACACATACACTTACACACACTCACTCACTCACACACGCCCTCCGTTCAGCCCCTTCCACGTTCTTCTCGGCACGTCCACTCCAGTCTATTGGCACTCGCTCACGCTCTTCACGCTCTCCCCATGACATGCAGTCAAGAGAAGGAAAAACTTGGCCCTTCCCTGATTATTGTACTCATATGTGACAAGTGACATAGACGGCTCTCGGCTGCCACACTCGGTGCAACCCCAGCCCCAGACGTCCATCCCCCCCCCCCCCCCCCCCCCCTTTCATGATAGGCCGCCTTCACGTGGGCGCAGCTGCTGCTGAATGAGCTTCCATCTCCATGCATGACACTCTTTAGAGGGCAGTGGGCTCACAAGGTCCAAGCCGGGAGCCGTGCCCACCACGCCCACCCCCTCCCCTCTTCTCCTCCCCCCCCTTGTCTTGATCTTCCCCTCTGGGATGGATGTATGAGATGGGGCTATCACGGGCTGCAAGTGGTGACGTCTTTTTAGAGGGCACAAGCTCTTGGCTGACCCCATTTGTGAATTTCCAGCTCTTCTTTCCTATTCTTTCTTGACTTGTGGGAAAAGTAGAGAAGAATGAAAAAAAGAGGGGATGGGGTGTGTGTGTGGTGGTAGTGAGATAGAGGACAGCTTCTGCTAGCCTTTGTCCAGTCGGCTTGCCCGTTGGTATATAGCTGCGGCTTATCTCGCTGCCTCGACGCCAGGCATTCTCAGGCTTCATTTATGATATTCTGAATCAACTCTTTTGGTCTCGCGTGAAGGACACATTTCCCTCTCCCTCTCCCTCTCTCTCTCCCTCCCGCTTCTCACCTTGCCTCGTGCTGAGGCTGCTCAGCACTACCCCCGTCGGAGGTGCCGTCAAGCCACCGACTTCTCTTCCTCCCTCGTCTTCATTCTTTTCGTCCACTCGGGCGTGAGGTCACAGGGAAACCCCCCCAAATCATCCAGGCTCAGGAGACATACTTTGTCATAATTACTGTCTCTCCGTCTGAGTCATTTTCACACAAGTTGGGCGGCCTGAAGGCATCAACATCGTCAAGTCGTATCTTGCCTGTCTGCCTCGCCTTACACCTCAGCCCCTACATATACCACACCCCATCATCCCACCATTATCATTTCTACTTCCCCAGCTTTTTTTTGTTCTTCTCTTCCCTGGACCGGCAGAAGACAAAGACAAAGACAATGCTCATGGAACCCGTCTTGTGCTCCTCCCGCCGAGAATCCTGGCCGCCGACCCAGCTCCGCCTGTCGCCCGCCATGTCCATCAAGAAGAGGCCCGCCGCCGCCGACCTGGAGCCCCGGCCGCTGCTCGAGGACATTGACGACAACCCGCTCACCTACTTCCTGACCCCGATCCCGGCCGACGACGCCGACGTCGACGAGATGGACCTGGACGACGTCGACATGATGGACTTTGACGCCGGCATCGAGGACGCCAGCCAGCCCCGCGAGGCCGTCCGCAGCGTCAGCCCCTCGTCGCTCGAGGGGCTCCGCAAGCCCGACTGTGCTGCTGCCCGTCCGGCGTCGCCCGAGTACGACTCGGATGCGCTCACCACCGACGACGACGACGACGAGGACTACATCCGCTTCTCGCCGTCGTCGCCGTCGTCCTTCATGCTTTCGCCCCTGCGCGACCTGGCCGTCGAGGGCCTCCGCTTTCGATCAAAGAGCCCCATGTTTGGCCTCTCCAACGACACCTTTCTCTACCCGGGCTCCATGTCCGTGCCTGCGCCTTCGTCGTCGTCGTCGTCGTCGTCGGGGCGCCGGGGCCGAGGCCGTACCAATAGCCGGGGACCGACGCGCCACCATATGCAGACGAGGAGCCTGTCTGCTCGCGTGCGGGACAATCACCTGTGGCGGGAGCCCAGCCCCGATGTCTGGTCCATTGAGGAGGAGACTGAGGAGGAGCTCATGAGCGATGCTGGGGTGGACGTCAAGGCTGCGAAGCCGAAGAAGAAGGTCCGCTTTGTGCTTCCCGAGAAGCAGGAGTGAGGTCGATTGTTGAGGGTACCTTTTTGTTTTTTTTTTATTCCTTGGTCAACCATCATTGCATTGGGTGGCGTTTTCAGGATTCTTTCCCTCAACGTTCTTGGGGGGTTTGGAGAGGTCTTTTGCTTTTCAATTTCTCTTATAGTACGGCATTTCAAGGCGTTTCGGCGGCTGGAGGTGTTTCCGCATCACACAGATATAGATGACAGGGCGCTTCTACGTCTACACATCTTGGCTTGCGGTTTTTTGGTCATGGGCCATTGTGAGCTGGGACTCTCGATGGCATGGGAGAGGACTTTTCGATTGAGTGCTGGAGCAGAGTGCATTGCCTTTCCCTTTGTTGCTTTTTTTCTTGATGGTTTGGTCATTTGTTTTGCAATTATACCAACGGAGGTGGTGGGCATCAGTGGGAGTTGGAGGCAACTTTCTGACAGTACTCTTGGATTTACAGAGGTTATTTCGTCGTTTACCGTAATTACTACCAAATTGACTCTCTACTTTGCTACATTCCTTTGAAAGAGACGTTCATGAGAGTAACTGACAGAAGAAAGAAGAAGGGAAAAAAGAAGAAACATTCAACAGCTGTGTGTACTGTATGCAAGTCGTGTGTGTAAGTGCCGGAGGAGGAATGCCCAAAAAAAGAAACTCTCCGATACTGGGAATCGAACCCAGGGCTGCTCGGTGCTTCAACCAGAAGTTGAGAGCGAGCGATGTTAGCCACTACACCATATCGGATGCGAATGCGGATGCTCTTCTAGCGTGATAGTTGCATCCATCAAGGGCTCTGTCTCTCTCTCTCTCGCCCGCAACACTCGGTCTCACAGCGCAAAGCTTATGGCCACAACGGAAAGATGGATGAGCCTTGGGCGGAATGATTGACTTGATTGCATATCCATTCGTAGAGTAAGGCAGTCAATAAGTGGATGATACCAACCAAGTAGAGCACTTGCATATGTATGACTTGCGCGCGCATAAGACTAATGGAATAGTAGCTCGGAATTGCGCATTTGGCTTGGCGTGACCTGTCATGGGGAAATGGGCATCGCGGAGGTGCGCGCTTTATTGAGGGTGGTGGTGGTGGTGATGGTTGTGGGGCTGAGGTGTGAGAAGGTGATCAGCTGGACTTGGTGTTTGACGGACGTGAGACATGCGGACGAGTCGGGTTGTGTGGAGGAGGGTGGTGCTGCGAGGCTGGGATGACGATAAGGAGCGTGAGGTTTGGAGAGGTCTCAGCGAGGAGTGGTGGTTATCTTTGATGGAAGCAGAAGGAGAGCAGCGGAAGAATCTGGTGGATGAAGTTGCGAAGAATCAGGGTGGCATTACTATATGTTTGATGGAACTGGAAGGAGAGCAGTAGAAGTTGATGTTATGCATATGGTTCGATTCCTGCAGGTTGTATGCATCAACGAGGGTGTTGAAGGTACTACTAGTAGTAGTACATACAACGCAGGCGATGGAACCAGCTTCCATGTGAGAGAAGAGGTGGAGAACGAGGAGGGTGCACTCCAACCGTGCAGTACGAGTAGCGGAGTGGTGGAGATTCTGAGTGCCTCCATCTTGTGACATGCCGTAGCAGTAGCTGTTCGAGTGGCGGTCGTGACAGAAGCCATTAAGAGGGGTTACTGATTGTAAATGCTATCAGTGTAACCTTGGTTGAGGGTGCTGTGTGGGCATACATGGGCTGGTTGGTAGGGAAGTGAAGATGCATGTTGTGTGAGATGTGAGCAGCTGGAAGGATGAGCTGATTGATAAGGCTTTGCAACATTCCTGATGGAGGGGCGATATCAAGTAAGGTAGGCACGCTCTTATAGCGATCGACTTTTCTATCAACGATCGATTGCTTCATCACTTGCTTGTGGACGCAATGGTGTAAGTCGAACTCGGCGGGATACGAGTGCATGGAGAAGGCTAGTAGTATTACTAGTAGCTTCTCTTATCCGGCGTTGCGCACGACGACGAACCATGCCATGCAGGCCACGGACCTTGGGCCATGAGCAAATGATGTAAGCATACGGTAATGGAGCGGACAACGGTCTTCTATGCAAGTCAAAGACGCAAGAAAGAAGTTGTATGAGTCGAGAACTGGATCAGAGTGCAGGGTAGGGTATCCTACCAACAGAGTCGGGATACGGCAGCGTCCATGAATCCCGCAGCATGTCCAAGATGAGCTGCCGATCAGCAAAACAAACAACACGATATATCAAGATCCAAAAGTCGATATCGATAACAACACCCATGCGGTTCCAAGCCGTCGGTGATCGACCTCATTTCCCTGAAAAGGTTCCCGTCTTTGTTGACTGCACAACACACAGAACAAGCAAGGAAGACCTGAGATTGGCAAGATTTGGGCCATGGATCCTTCATCAGCCACAGCCCTCTATTGGACGACCGACCAGCCGGATCGGGACTAGCCAGCCGCATGCTTGGACAAGCCACAGACGGACGAAAATAACGGCCGTCGCTGATTGGCCACGGGTCGGGCCTTTTAGTGGCTGTCCCAGCCTTCTTTTCCAAGGTTCTTTCAGTGACGCTCCAAGCTGTGCTAAAATTGCAGCCAATTTCTCCAATTGTTCGGGCGCGTTGATCAAGGTATTACAGTACAGAGCGACCCCGCTGGTTACCGCGGCACCCAGCATAGAGGACCACAAGGACGGGCAAAAGAGGCTGGCAGTTTGAAGCTCTCTACGTAGGGTTAGTAGGTAGTTGATGACAGCGGCTGTGCAGGTGCAGGTGCAGGCGCGGGCACTCGGTACTCGGTACCAGCCTCGAACCCGTTCAACCCAAGCCCAGAAGCAATAGCGGGCATCTCGATCGAACGATTTGGAAGCTCTTCTGCACTGTACAAAGTCCTCCAACGTACAAACCAGCTCCCTCGAGCTCGTCCGTCGCTCCCGTCCATCATACAAACACTCGCCCTCAACGTCACGATTCCGCTCCGCCGTCGCTCGTTCCCCAGTCAGTCTCAGTGTCAAGTCTCAATCTCACTCTCACTCTCCCTATTCCGCTATTAGGGCCCGCTTGCAGTCGCCCAGCTGACGCGAAATCACGACAAACGCCCTGTTTACGATTCCCTTCCATCTGCTTTCCCCCTCCTCCCCCAACGGCTCCTACAAACAGACAACGAGCTAGCGCCTTCTTTGTTGTTGACAGTGCGCAGCAGAGGCCGTGGCCGGCCTTGGGAGCTCTCGAGCTGGGGATGTGCGACGACCAACGCGAGACTGACAGCAAACACCCCCGACTCGATGCGCACAGCATGCTGCTCCAATGAGGTGAGTAGCGCAGCAGAAACTCCATGTCTTTGTTCTCGCCTCTGCCCATCGCGTACGACCGGATCGTCTGGACGACGAGCAATTGCACAGGTGCTTGAGCAGTTCGGGCAGCTTGGGCAGCTCTGCTCCCCATCGTTGCGTCTAACCGCGCTCTCGCTAAAAGGCCCAACCGCACGAGTTGCTGTGCCCTTTGTCCTCGCGACGCGGCGATCCATCTCTTTGTGCTCGCATTTGTGGCCGCTGAACTGACATGGCAGTGGTAGCAGCTCGCAAGACCATGACCTCGTCCAACGAAGCCCCTGGCGATAGCAGCGCGCCGCCCAATCCCACAACGCCGACCAACCTCTCCGAACACTCCAAATCCGGCGGCTCCAAGGATGGCAGCGCGACAGACGGCAAAAAGACTCCTGGAGAGTCCCCCAAGTCTGCCCCGGCGGCAGCCCCGGGCGGCCGTCCGCGCTCCAACACCAAGAAGACGGAGCCCCCGAGTCTCCTCCACGACTTCCTGCTAGGGCGGCCCTCGCCGGCGAGGCTGCAGGCGGAGCGCAAGCGGCGGCAGAGCATGGACACGGTCAAGGCGGAGGCTCGCCACGAGATGAGGCAGAACCAGGTGCGCAAGCTACAGCCGCCGAGCGGCGTCAGGGACAGGGTCAAGACGTGGCAAAAGGCCAATGCGGCCGCCATGGTGGACAGCAACCCGGACGATGCCGCCACGGAGCCGACGGACGTCGCCTTTGCCGGAGAAGAGATGGAGAGCGTGACGGAGGAGGACCGGGTGCGCATCAAGATGAGGCAGAAGAGGAGGCCGCCCAAGGCCATTGTCCACAACAACGGCGGTGCAAAGTCCGAGACGGACAAGAAGGACAAGGAGATCCCGCCCCCTCCTAAGAAGAGGATCGTGAGCGACGACAACTGGGTCAAGCCCAAGGTCCGGAAGCCGTCCGTTCGAAAGGTGTCGCCGCGTCCCAGGAAGACGAGCAACCCCACCCCGGCCCGCATTCCAAACGGCTTTGTCTTTCGAGCAGTGCCCAACCCGTCCTTTCAGAGCAAGGTCAAGGCGTGGGCAGAAAAGGTGGTGACGCCGCCCCCAAAGAGCCTCAAAGGCTCCCTATCCTCCGATCTTTCAGACTCTGAGGAAGAGGAAGAGGAGGACAGTGACGACGGGGAGACTGCGACCGAAGTCACCGCGAGGAAGCCTCTCAAGCCCAGCATGGACGACACTGATGGCATCCGAGTACGGCCGATACGGAAGAAGGAGCCCGATGACGACGGGATTCGGGTTGCACCAAAAAAGGCTACAGATGACGACAGTATCCGGGTCACGCCGAAAAAGGCTACAAATGACGATGGCATTCGGGTCACGCCAAAAAAGACTACAAATGACGACGGTATTCGGGTAGCGCCGATAAAGGCTTCAGATGACGGGATCCGCGTTGCGCCAAAGAAGGCTGCAGATGACGGTATCCGCGTTACCCCTGCAAAACCTCCACCTACCGCCCCTCAGGATGACGGTATCAGGGTCAAGCCAGTAGAGGTCAAGGAGTCCAAGGACGGCATTCGCATCACGCGTATGAAAGTTTCACCACCACCTCGCGGCGACGGCATCAGAGTAAAGCCAGTGACCGAGGCCAGGTCAGAATCCGGAACTCCGAGGCCGACGCGGCAGCGAAGCAAAAGTACAGGTACCGCCTCCAAGAAGCATACGATTCACGACTTGATCAAGGCTGTCGAGGAAGCAACCTTGTTGTCAATGTCAGATGGTGCGGAGGACCTGGACTCGTATCTCGATGCCCCGGCTGAGGAGCCCCGGCCGAAACCTCGACAGGGCGGTGTCAAGAGGAGCGGAACGAAGCGTCCGAATACTAGAGCTAAGTCGGCAGACGTTGGCTCCCGCGCCAAGCAGCCGCCTCATATTCCAGACTCAGACCTGGGCACTACCTTGACCGACAGGTCCCTGGCTGACATTCCTGGAGAAATTCCCTTTGGGCACTCCGCCTTTAGTGAGTTGGATTTGCCCCTCAGGGGTCCTCCAAAGAGCAGGCCGAAGCAGCAGCAGCAGCAGCAGAAGCGTACGAAGCTCGACCGGGCAACGAGTTTGAAGGCCATGCCAAACGTGTTGAAGAAGGTGGTGGAGGAGGGCAAGAAGATTATCCAGGAGATCAACGAGCCCTCGAGGCATGCGACACCCAACAACCCCCCGAGCATCGAGAAGTGGCTCAACAATACCGTTGAGCCGTACGAGAAGGGCAACCGGCCACCTTCCCTCTCGTCGACGCTTTCCGATGAGGACGATGAAGATGACGATGTCACGATAGGAGAGGCTGCGCCCAGGGACACTACGCGAGAGGCTAGACGGGAAATCAGACCAAAGGAGACTACACGGGAGATTAAGCCGAAAGAGGCCATGCGGGAGACGAAAGCAAGGGAGAGCCGGGAGACGACACCGAAAAAGACTACATCGAGAGAGAATGTGTCGCGAGAAAGCCCACACAGAGCGTCTACGTCCAAAGAGACAAAACACAGAAGAAAGCCCTCGGCGGAGACAAGGAGCTCAATGGTCTCGGATTCGCGCGTAGTGTCAAATGTGACGTCCGATCTCTCGTCCAACCTTACTTCCAGCGTCGAAACGACGCACTCGGAAGAGACCACTCAGAGCGCGAATGCATCAAGTCCAAAATCAGGATCAAGGACTAGCAGAGAGTCCGAAAAGAGGAAATCGGCCTCATCATCGAGTCTCAAAAGGAGGAGTGCAACGAGGGACTCTTTACCCTCGTCTAAGTCAGGTAGCACACGACGGCCGTTCCTTGGTGCTCTGAAGGAGGCCTTTCAAGGAGAATCCGCGACCCTTACGAAGCCTATCAAGGCCTACCAAAGCCAGGAAGAGCGCCGCTTCGCATCCGATGATGACTCTCTGGAGGATGATGACCAGACTGAACTCGAAGCCGATTCCCAGTACATGCAGTCGAATTCTGAGCTGAGCAGCTGGGTCACGACAGACACTCGCTCAAGTACCGATAGGGACTCATCCGTCCGCAGCTCATCAAGGGGCGTACCACACATCGCTGGGCCTCGCCTCCGACCTCCGACGAACGGCCACGAACTCTCAACCATTCTCTCCGAGGGGTCTAGTGTCAGCCATTCGGAGACCGAGTCAGACGTGAGCCGTTCTACCCTCACCCGCTCGACGACAGTTTCAAAGTCCACCGACCCGAGAACCCCCCAGCGACAAGGCTCCGGCCTCAAGAGAAGGCTGACGAAACACTCTGACCTGGTTTCTGTCCTCTCACTACCCGATGACGCCAATGTGCCCCAACGCATCAAGAGCAACCGATCGAGGCCAAGCCTCCGGAAAGCACGCGGCTTGTCTAACAACGTGACCGCGGATGACTTGCTGAAAGAATTCGCCGAGGATGAGAACCTGTTCCGACGAGAGCTCAAGACGCTGGTAGACGGCGTGATACCCGTGCTTCTGTCTCATGTCGTGAGCGACAGCACTCCCCCCTCTGAGCTCTTTGGAGCTGCCTCTGCAAAGGCCAAGGTCGACGTCACGTCCAAATCGGTCGTCAACATGGGCGTTGTCCTTGAGAAGCTCAGGAACGCGCACGACAAGGCCCCCCTCAACGACATCCGCCGGATGGCCAACTGGGCTCACGGCGTTGTCCCTATTTATAACAACTACCTAGGCGTCTGGAGGCTGGGCTTCCAAGACCTGATTGTCAATCTAGCGCCCCGGCGAGGCTCGGCAGACGAAGATGACTCCCTTCTCAACGCACTGCCAAGGAACGCGAATGGCGATCTCATCAACGCCCAGGGAGAGCGCGTCGCCGTCGCCTATCTCCTGAAGAGGCCCCTTCTTCGTATCAAGCAATTGGCCCGCCTCATCGTCTGCGTGGATCAAATGTATCCCTCTCCCGACACCAACCAGCTAGTCAAGGACTTTGAAGCCTTGCAAGAAAAGGCCCGTCAGCGCCATAGAGAGGAGGTTGCGAGGATTATTGACGAAGAAGCCATCAACACGGATACTTCCAGAGCGCGAGACCTCCGAACTCTTAGTCCCATGAAGTCCGTCACTATTGCCGTCTCTCGTCAAGTTAGTGCCAAGGACATTTTTTCGCTTGACCTCAGTCACTCCAACGGCCAAAGACTGGAGTGTCAGGTGGAGCTGGTGCACCGCGACAACCAGAGCCGTCCTGAGGATAAGGGGGATCTACTCATCCGAGAGGTTGGAGACGGCCGGCGGTCCTACCTCCTCTTCCCGCCCATTTCCATGTCCCTCGTCTCTGCTCGCGCGGGGGATGGGAAGCAGGACATGGTCGTCATGGTCCGTGGAAACCACAACGGAAAGGCGTGGCACGAGCTGCTCAATCTCTGGGCGGATGAGGAGGAGCAGATTCTGGACTGGCTTGACATCCTGCCATCTTCGCCTGTTCCCCCCCGGCAGCCCGAGCCCAGTATCCTTGACGAATCTGAGCTGGGCTCGGACTCTCCGGGTAGATTGCCAGACGTGCCTGTTGGCGTCCAGAGCATGGTGAGCGTGGCAACCCGGTCCGATACCACCGACCATGACGACTCTGACAGCGGTCTCGCGACGCCACCTACCCCCACGCGAGCCGCCCCAGGACCCCCGGGCAAGACAGAGCCATCTGCCTCAAGACAGATCCCCATCATCTACCACAATGACGCGCCGCCGCCGCGACCACCTGTTCACCGAACCCTTAGCCCCACACCTCAGCAGTCACCCAAGTCTCAGTCATTGCTCAAGCCACCGATCGACCTCCACGCCAATGACCGCCTCAAGCGAAGAGGTTCATCTCCTCTCAAGCACGAGTACTTGCCTTCTGAGGTCTCGTCCGCCTCGGGCCTGTCTTCTTCTGCCGTGTCTTCTATCGTGGAAGAAGGTGAGGAAACAGAGTCTGATGGTGAATCTGTATCTGGAACTGAGTCTGAGTCCGAGTCATCGGATGAGGAAATGGAGAGTCTCGATATTCCCCAGACTGAACTTGGCTACAGCATCAGGGAGGATGACCGGAGAAGGGGCTCGTACGCACCTTCGTTTGCCCCTTCAAACACTCCTGCATCCGAAGTCAGTTTGACGCCATCCAACTCTGCCTCCCAAGCTGGTCTCCATGGACGAAAACCATCAGAGGAGGATGGCAGCATTGCCAGATCGGGACGATGCCTCGCGACCGTCTCCAGATGGTCTGACAAGGGAACGTGGAAGGACGTTCATCCTGACCACTGTTCGATCATGGTCACCGATGGTCTCATTGAAGCATTTGCCTTCCGAGACAGCAACTACACTCAGCTCGACGACAGGCCCATTGTCGCGTTGGATCTCACGCCCCTGGTTCTGATTCGACAGAGCACCGCCGTTGACTTGGAAATCCGGTCATCAATGCAACCCCACAGCAAGCTGGCACCAGTCTACCAGGGAGGCAACTTTCGCTTCCGGTGCTTGAACGGCCCCGACTGCTACACCCTCTACACGGCCGTCCACCACGCCCGCCTCAACAACCAAAAGTTCATCCAGCTGGAGAACGAGGCGCGATTCAGGAGCTTCGGGGAGCGGCCGGCTCCCCCCGAGGAGGGCGACAAGAGCAGCCGCCGTAGCTGGTTCGGTAGGAAGAACAGCTACCGCAGCTCGGTGAGGGCGCCGCAGTCGCAGCATTTCGATGGCGCGAGTACCACGCCGTCGTCGACGCTCTCTGCCTCGAGCTTCCTCAAGAAGCTCACTCTTGTCGGAAACTTGTCGTTCAACCTGGCGCGATCATCCGTCGACAAGCGCGGCGGCCGGGGTGGAAGCGGCAACAACAGCCTGTACACGACGGGCTCCTCGTCAGGATGGGGCTCGCCGCGATCGCCGTCCGTCAGCGTGGACAACAGCGGCGAGGTGCCGGTCAACTTTGGCACCGACAACATCCGCATCCGGCTCCACCTCCTCGTGTCGCCGGCCAAGTGGGAAGACTACGGCAACTGCAACTTGCAGATCCGACGACCGCCTCCCGGCTGGCGACAGGCTCTCCGGGCAGACCACGGCCTCGAGAAGCGCGTGACGGTGACGACGGCGCCCAAGAAGAGCTCCGAGAAGCCGATTGTGGTGCTGGACGCCGTCTTGGGGAGCGGATGCTTCACGCCAATGGGCAGCCGAGGCATTGTCTGCGGCGTGTGGGAAGAGGTCAAGAGCGGGGATGGCGTCGTCGGCGGCGTTCCGGCGAATGGGGCCACGGGGGGCAATATCAAGAAGTGGTGCTTTCAGTTTGCGAGCGTGGCGGAGGCTGGGTGGGTGTTGCGGCTGGTTCACCAGGAGGTTCTTACTACTTGAAACATCGGACAGGAGAGGAGTCGAGTTCGACTGTCGAGATGTTAATGGGTTCTCGATGTCCGGATATATATACACACATCCGTTTTGAAGCGATTTGAGCATTATTCGTCGAAACTGTTATTCTTCGGAGCATGCATACCGCATGGTTTGTATTAGTTGCGTCAGCGTGGCCTGTTTACATTATATCCCCCCCGTTTTTTTTTTTTTTTTTTTTTTTCTGGTTTGGCTATGCAGTGAGGTTTGATATTCGTACATTGGAACATTGTGTATCTTAGGGAGGCTTGGAATCGTTGGAGTGGGAGGGGGTGTTAGGAGTGCTCGGGGTGTTTGATGAGATAGCGGGAAAGCGGGAGGACCCATTGTGCAGACTGTTGGGGTTGAAATACAGTTGAAGTTATATATGTCACGAGGAGATGTTTACTGTGATAGCGTGACGAGTATGTTTGATTGTGTAGTTGCTCTGATGAGAGAGACTTGAGGTCTGGTGACTAGATAGATATTGAGTCGACTTGAGGTCTAAAAATTAGGGAGAACTTCTCTAGGGAGGCTTGAGAGGCTTGATGAGAGGAAAGACGTTCGTTTTAGACTTGGGTAGAGTTATGGCTGGAAGGCTTCACGTGGAATATAACACTCGGTAGAGGATCAGTGTTGTTTAGAGAAATCTCAGGTGAATACTGTAGAGGGCGGCGTTGTTATGTAGACGTTTTCGAGTATACGTGCCCGGCGGGGAAAGCCGGGATGTCGATACCTCTGTGGTCAAGGTTCGGCTAGGGCAAGTTTGCGAGAGAGAGAGGGAGAGAGGGATTTAGTATTTACTGTATTCGCCCACTCTTACTCTTGGAAGAACTGTTGGGTGGCGATCTTTTCTGTTGATTTACTTGGTAAGACGGATGAGGGGGCTACATGCAACTGTCTGACGGCTGAAGGATGGGGAAGTCAGGGGGGGTGATCTAAGATGGATAGAGATTGTGGCAAATGGGCAGAAGGAGAGGAAGAAATGCCTCGAAGATTTCTTCAACGAGACTTGCTGATGAGGACTGAATGGAGGTAAGATGATAAGTGAGGTATGGAGGGAATTCTGGAGATTGGGTGAGTGGGCTTTTTGGTGTATCCATCTGTAGATCAAGAGGGCTAGAAACGCCCAAAACAACTGGGAAGGCTCGGATCGACAGAGAGACCTTTGTTGAGGCCAAGACTACGCTTGAACTGATGGAAACGTGTAGATCCAAATCAAATTCTAGGCAAGGACAAGAGTCAAAATGCCTCGGCCGTCTCTCTCTGTGTGTCCATGTATCTATCACTAGACCAGGGGGGCAAAGTGCCGGTTCGTCTTCTCGTCTTGCAGCTTCCGACGGATGGAGCAAAGTCTCGTCTGGCTAGGACTTGTTTCATGCCTTTGCAGATGGGGGGAGGTACCTCGTGGTACTCTTGTGTACATTCGCTCTTGTTGCTCGTACGATTGTCATACCTTGGCTGTGAACTCGGGGTATCTTTGTTTTGGTTCGGGCTATCTTGTTTGTTCTGGTTTCGTGGGAGGAATAGGGGGGGGGCGCCGAGGCATAGATCGAGGAGGTTGATAGTGTGGAAAGGGACTCGGCGAGGGGTGTTTGATTTTTCGTAAAGGGAATCTAATGTCTGTATCTGAGATGGTCAGTTTTCAACATTATATGAGGTCTTTTCGTACTTGGAAAAAAAGGGGAAGATCAACTTCACAGCTAGAATCAACACACCCAAAGCACCCCCCCTTCAAATTGACGCGAAACAAAAAGACACGACTCAATAGACATCAAGATCACACCAGAAATAGCAAGAAAGAAATTGCATTTTTCAAAGACAGGGCAACAAATGGATTTTGCTTCTCCTATCTACGCTTTTGTTCGACTTGTTGATGAAAACCAGATAGAGAAGAGGGCTTCTCGTATTTGCTTCGAAAGAAGGAGCCAAAAATAAACCTCGACCTCGTATTTGCTTCAGCTGCGATTTTCCCCTTCCCTTGTTTCTAGGGAAACCACTCAAGCCGATTTACTGCATCAAGATTGACTCTGAAATATATGGAAGTGATAGGAATTCTTGTTTGATACTGCCCGTGGGAAGTAAACCAGGTGGTGATGGTGGTGGTGACAATCTCTCCCCTTTCGCTTCGACATCGGGCTTGCTTGAACGAGTAGATTGCCGAGGATAAAGCACGTCCGCTTCATTGACGCCTAACACGCTCTACATCTCTGACTCTTGGTAAATCATTTATCTCCCATCTATCGAGCAAATACCAAACCTTTGCTCACAACACCTCAACCTCCTCCTCCTCCTACTCCAAAACACGCCCTTCCCTCGACCACGTCCCAAACCCATGCATCAAACTCCCACCCACCCATCACCCGCAACGCTCATACCATACCATAAAACAAACCCATGAAGGGCCAAGCAATCCAGCCAATCCAATCACCACCCAAGGGCACAAGAAAAAAACCGCCCGAAACCCCTGCCACCGAAACAAGTATCCTATCAACCATTCCCCCATTCCCAATTTTTTTTCTCGTATTCAACAGACAAGCGCCCCCTCCCCCCTCTGCCTTTTCCCCCCATGGACTAGACCTACTTTGTACAGAGGAGACAGAAGCGGGCAGTTATCCGCTCATTGTTCCTCGCCTTGTTGCCTCTTCTTCTCTTGGGCTCCCTCCCTCCCTTTGATCTTTGTACTTACCGATCCTCGCCTTGTAGATTCAACGACTCTAGAAGCAGTATATCAAAAAGAAAACTCGCTCCATGAACCATCAATCAAATCTCTGGAAAAGACAAAAAAAGTCAGTCTCAATCCAAACAAAGGAACAAAAAGGCATACCAGCCATCACGGTAACCATACCCGGAGCCCCATCCCCATCCCCATCCCCATCCTCACCGTTTCCCGTTCTGAAGCAGGGGTAATACCACGCACCTTTTCTCCTCCATCTATTCTCTCACCTCCCCCCCCCCCCCCCCCCCCCCCTCGTGTCGAAACCAGTGATTCGCCCCCATGGTCCAAGTAGTACATAAGTGAAGAAAAACCTGCAGGAAGCGGCGAATCACACAAAGGCAGAGAAGAAGAAGTCCTCCTTGACTGGGGCCGCCTAATGCATGTACATATCCTGTGTACTTATGCAGGTATCCATCATACTCTTTCTGATAACGGATAGGATCCCCTTCCCAGGTTCCCAGGGGAGAACATGCGTGCCAGTACCTAGTCTGAGATAAACAAGGACGCTGCGGCGGTTCTAGCACATAGCCGGGCAAATAGCAATAATGCAAGCGCCAAGGGGAAAGTCGTTTACCCGCCCGCCCGCCCTCACGCTCTCTCTCTCTCAAAATTGGGAGGGGTGGCTGGCAACTGTTGGCGGAGGTTGTTGGTTCCTGATGACACTTGGGGCCCTGGAGTATCTCCAGGGCATGGGTTGGCAGGCTGGGTAGTTGAAGCACGCGTGGCTTGTTGACATGTCTTCCGAGGCCTGGTTTAGTGCGATGACTGGTATCGAAGAGAGATGAGAAGCCTGGACGGTAAGCTGCTGACTGCCCTGCACAAGTAGTCAGCCGCGCACTCAGTCTGTAAACAGTCACATGAACATTCAGAGGCTCGTGGGCACATTGAACACGATCATATTAAATCCCATCCAAGATGCCAAAGGCAGAGCTTGAATCATCCGCAACCATCCTCTGTAGCGTCGTCCATGTAGATGAACGACGGCTATTCACAAACTCTCACAAATACACACTCAGATTCTGGCACGCTCTCGGCATCATGGGCACTTTATGCCCACACTTCATCCCACTATACATGCCAGCGGCCCATTTGCCAAACAAGATTCCATTGAAGATCAAGTCAAAAACCATGTTCAAACACCAAAATCCAAAACTTCCTCAGCCGATTGTTCATCTGAACGCCGGGAAAACGAAACGCCATTTTTCTATCCGCAACAATGTGCAGGAAGCAGCACAATGGTTTAAAAAAAAAAAAAAAAAAACAGTCGCTATGCAGTGTGATGTTCAGTTCGCCCAGTACCATTTTTGTGTATCCCGAAAGGAGTGAATCTATGTCGACCTTGATGTTCGTCATAACGTGATGTCATAAAAGGAGTGTGTGCGTAGTTTGGGGTATCTTCGTAAAAAGGAATGTCGATTAAGCTGGAGGGGGTATCGTTCAAGGAGCGTCGTGTATTAGATAATACATTAAATAGTTGGTGATTAGTGTCGTAAAGGATTGCTTCGGTCGAGGTCAACTCGAGAATTTGAAGGAGTGTCGTTCAGGCGTTGTGCTCAAGCAGGCTGTGCTGACGGGAGCAAGAAAAAGGAAAGATCAAGGCCCGTGTATCGTAATGTTTCATGGTAGTAGCGAGTGTGTTAAGGAGTGTCGTACATTTGCGTCTGCGTTGAAATCAAGAAAAGAAGAATGAGGAGGAGAAGGCAGATCCCAGCTGCACCCAAGTTGATCGCGGAGAAGGTGGAAGTAGTACGGAAAGTGACTAGGGACAGCGCATCGCTCATCACATCGCCCGCTGTTTGCCCTTGCCATCGGACTCCGAGAAGCTCGGAGTGAGTGGTGTGCGCGACAGCGGTGACGGAGGGTGCGGCGCGGAAGACACCGAGCCAGTCTGACGGTGTCGGTGGTGGTGGTGGTGGTACGGGGTGCTAGACAGCGGAACCGGAGACTCGGGAAGGGGCAGCATGCCCGGCGCGTCCTGGTGGTGATACGGAGACAGAGCTGGCGCAAGCGACGGCGCCATCGGCGAACCATCTGGAGGTGGATAGGCCGAAGTACTGGAGTTCCTGAGTGGCAACGGTCAATCCGATTGTGCTTCCTCGAGCCGGGGTTGGAGAGTCGAGTGTGTTGGGGGTCCATCTAGAGGTATCTAGATCCACACGGACTGCTGGGGAAGAACGAACCCGACGGGGTAGCCGCTGCTTTGCGCGTCCTCGAATATCGGCGAGTGGCTGGACTGGAAGCCTCGCATGTCATACCCACTGTACTCCTCGGAATCGCTGTACGCGAGGGAGGCCTCAAAGGTCGACGACGCTGGGCTGTAGGAGATTCCATACGAAGGAGACGGCACGCTCAGGTAGGGCTGGCTCAGGTACGGAGACGAAATGGCCAGCGGGCTGAGCCCGTCAGGTGGGCCTGCCGGGGTAGGGCTGTTGAGCATTGGCATGCTCTCGGCGCTGTAGCTGAAGGCAGGGTTCCCGTACGGCGTGTAGGGCTCCGACGAGGGGACCATTGGCACCTCTTCGCGCATCATGGGGAAGTTTGGCGGATGAAACGTAGGGAACGAGGGCGTCCTCTGCGGGCTCATCCAGCCCATGCGCGACCGGAATTCACTGACGGTGTCGAGCGGGTATTCCATGAGCGTGAGCGGCGTCTGGTACGAGCCCTTGACGCTGCTTGCCAGGTTCATGGTCATGAGCCGCCGGGCAATCTCCTCAATCGGGGCCATGGACAAGCTGCCAAAGTAGGCCGCGCCAATCTCGGGGAAGAGCCGCTCCATAAGAAGCGCCGCCGTGTACAGGTGAGCAATGGCAACCAGCGAGGCGGGGGAGCACTGGTAGTTCTGAATGAAGCCGACCGGCACCCAGAAGAGCCAAGTCCGCAGGAGCTGGAGGCGCTCAAACTGCTGGGCAATTGGAAGAGTCGGGCTGATCTTGCGGACGCCCTTGAGGAAGCCAATCAAGTGCTGCATCTGCATGAGGCATGCGTCTTCCTTGAAGTGCTTGAGGTGAGCCTCCACCTTCATGACCTGGTCCAGGGTGCGCTGGTACGCCTCAAGGTCGTCCTTCTGGGGGTGATAAGCCCGGCGCTCAGGGTCCGGAGAGGGAGGAGCCGTTGGGAACGTGCTGCTCTCAGCAATAAAGTCCGTGAACTCGGACTCATGCTTCCATGCGTCCATTGCTTCAATCACCTAAGGAGCAAAGTCAGTCACCGCTTAAAGGGAAATGAGAGATTAGAGAGGCTTCGAGAGAACCAATAGAATGCTTGGGCTTCACGTCATCAACCAACAAGTACATACCGTCGTAGTCCCCTGCATGAGTTTGGTCCAGTCGCGCCTGAAATGAGAACCGCAGTTAGCCATTCAACTGTTCCATCGATGTGAGAGCGCCGAGAAAGTTGTGCTTACCAGCTAGTGGCCTGCCACGACAGCACAAGGGATGCCGCAAGGATAGCGTCGGACGTAGCGCGAGAGAAGGAGTTCAAGGCTTCGTGCAAGCCGTTGAAGGCCCTGCCCCTGTGCTCAAAGGCCATGGAGCCGACCAGAGGGCAGTCGGTCAAGAAGGCAATGTGCATGGCAGAGAAGGCCAGCAGAGCATGCATCACAAAGGGATACTCCGCGCCAATCTTGAGCAGGCTGGGAACATCATGTTAGTGCTGGGCAGCTTGTCACGGGCAGCAGCGACAGTGCTGCATGGAGAAACTCACGTCGGGATGTATCGCGTCCACAAGGTCAAGTTGTTGGCCTCCTGCGTCATCAGCTGATAGTGCAGGGAGGCAACGTGGTAGATCAACCGGAGATCCTCGAGGGAGTATTGGTGCGGCGAGGGAGCCGGGTAGATGCGGAGCGACGGGAAGGGGAACATGCCAGTCCTCTGCCACTCGCCGATCGCAGCCTCAATCTGGGGCGTCCACATGAGATCGGGCTTGTCCGGCGTAGCGGAGCGACCTGCATCAGGCACCTGCACGTCGTTGTACGGGCAGCGGATCTTGTGCTTGGTGCAGTTGCGGCTGGCCACGCGGGTTAGCAAGGTTGAAAAAACTTCGACGAAATACGCACGACAACTTACCATTGAGGGAAGCTCTCGTCGCAGCGGATGTGACGACGCTTGCTAGGTTCATAGTTAGACCAATGCTCAGGGGTCTGATTGGGGTTGCCGTTCAGCGAGAGTGAGTATTGCTACGTACCACGTATCACAGCCTTTGCGGGACTTAGTGTGACTGTCATCACAAGGTCAGCTCATGCGTCACTGGGACAAGGAGGGGGAAAAGGTGAAGGTGAGGGTGAGGGCAAAGGTGAAGGTGACCGGGCTGCGTAGGAGATGACAAACCTGCGACGAGGAGGACCACCGCCAGGGCCAGCCATTGTAATTGGAACTGTAACGAACGAGTGCTATACGATGGTCAGCAGATGGGACTAATACAAAAGACGTCTTCCTTCCAAGACAACATCAGGGACAAGGCATACAAGATCCTCAGGGCACAGCTGGAAATAGCTGTGCTTGACGAGCGAGCGGGTTTCGTGGCTATTGATGACTGGAGCCACGAACAGACACTGCTGAGGTCAAGCGTTGATTCAGTTGCAACGGTGAGGGCGCAACTTGGTCCTGGGGTTCCTTTTTCCTAACAGACGATATACTAATATACACACGTGTGTTCCGGTGTGTATACGATGGGTCTTCTCTTGATTAAAAGTAGCGATCGAATATGGCGTGATGATTTCTCCTTGGGCCTCGAAATTAAACAGAATGTAATTGTTGGTCGTAAAGATAACGTCGTTCTTTTTTTGTTGGTTTTATCAATTTTTCTTGTTGGTAGCGATTGTGGAAAGCGATTGTGGTGGTGGTGGTGGTGGAATTTTCTTTTCAAAGAGACATTGGCGGCGGCTCTGGTTCAGCCTTGTAAAGCCTGGGTGAAGCCGCAACAATTGCTCGTCCGTTCGAATCCTTTGCGCAATTCGAAGCCTCTCGGGTGTGATCCAGCTGAGTCAAGCTAAATCGACGGATTCCGCGCAAAGATTCGAGATTCTTGCCGTGGGAGTTGTGGAACAAGTTTCTTCGTCGTCCGGTGGCTTCGGGATCAGGTCTAGAGTGGTGAAGGCCGGGGAAGGGGAGGGTTTGCGACGGAGGAGATGGTAGAAAGAGGAGGAAAGAAGAAAAAAAGAGCACCGGTAAAGCGAATGACAGGAGTCAACGAGGACTTCCTAAGAGGAGTGTTTTTTGGGGGAGCGAATGTGGGAGAGCGAGCGTTGAGTCGAGATGGTTGGAGTGAGACCGGGGGAGAAGGAGAGAGGCAGAGGTTTTGGGGGGTTGGGATAGTTAAATACACAGTGAGCAGGAGCAGGTGGTGAGTGGCTGCTCACGCTCACTGGCCTGGGCAGCACCCGAGAGCACAGCACAGCACACAGCTCCAGCTAACCTACCTACCTAATGGGCTGTTACTACGGGCTAGCAGAGCCCTGGGCAGCACAGCCAGCCATCGGCCTACAGTATAGTGCATCCAGCGGGTGCCGGTCAGGTCGGAAATGTACCTGCTGGTAGCCCCAGGTAGCATCGCCCAACCGTCCGTCACCCTGCTCGCCGAACCTCTGGTGCTAGATCCTTCCAGTCTGGGTGCTAACGGGGCCCTGCTGGTCCGCCGGAGGGGGGCCGCTAGGGGTCTGGCGCAGCCCGCCAGGAGAGCAGGTACCAGGCGCCAGACCACTGCGGCTACCTGGGGCTACTTCCAGTTGCAAAAGGGCCCCTCCAGCGGCCATGTCCCGCGACTGGGGGGGTGCAAGGGGGTGCCACGCGCTGTGCGACTCGGCCCTCAGGTCAGTGGTCGGTGCCGTTGGCGGTCCAGTGGGGGCGCTGCGGCTGTATGGCTGCGCTGCTGCACCCGCTGCCCATGAACTTTGGTAAGCGGCAGGTTGGGGACGGAGATGCGTCAGGACTGGTTCGATCACAACCCGCCGGCGGCGATTGGAACCTGACAATCCCTACGTCTTACGGCCCATGTCACAGGCTCTAGCGGCTGCACTCACTTAACGAGCCGACACTTGTCATCGATACTTGGTGCCGGGCTGCTTTTTTCCAGGCACTAGGTAATAACAACAAAGATCGGCAGCAAAACGCCGTCGTGCTTCATCCAAAACTCCAAACTTCAAAACTCCAGAGCTGGAGCCGCCTGTCTTGAACTTTACCTAAACTCTGCCAGGGATCAACGTCAAGAACGAAATAATATCTGCCGCCGAACAAGGAACAAGGGAAGCAGGACCGAGGCTCCCGCGGCTCCCTCTTGCCACGGGCATCGAGCCAAAAGCGACGTCAAGTCACGGCCAGCCGAGTCAAGCAGCGATGAGATGAGCGCGGCAGGCCGTGGCAGAGCCTGGCAAGGAGAGGCCAACGGTTGGTGGAGAGAGGGGGCAGGCGAGGGATGATGGATGATGGATGATGCCTCATCAGAGCATGCCGACACCCCCAAGTACCGCTACTACGACGAGGCGGGAGTGATGCTGCCAGCGATGCCGCCGGCCTGCTGCCACTGTGCGTACTCGTACGTACTGCGACTGGCACCCGCTCAACGCAACAAGCGCGAGGGGCGTGTGACGGCTTGTGAGGCTTGGCTGTGCAGCTCCTAGGAGGCATGACGCACATGGCACGATGCCCGCGCACCATGAAGTAAAAATAACAACTGGGGCGAGCCGTCGGCTTGGTTGCGACCAGGGTCCGAGGGCTTTTGCGTGTGGGGGACGGCACCAAGCCAGAGCTACCGCAGTAGTTTCTGCTGCTTTCTCCGTACTGATGCCAGAGCGGAATCGTCCAAGCGGAACCTCGAAGCCCTGCTGCCGTTGTCGCTTTTTCTTACCCTTGCCTCATGGGCTTAGCTTTCTCTGCGCGGCTTTTGGACCCACGTCCAGTCAGGGTGAAACCTTCGGAGCCATCAGGCGAGCGTCAGATGCCTGGTTGGCCGGTGATTGTGCCAGCACATCGTGGGCATCGTCGGCCGCGGGGCTCCGGAATCATCTTTCGGCAGGTAGCCAGTTGGCGGCGGGCCTTTGCTGCACATTGATATCGAAGACTTTTCCCCCCTCATTGAATCTCAAATCGCGATTGCGTCTGAAGAAAGCTGAGGGTCGCGTCGTTTCTAGAAGCATGTGGCATCACTGTCAGCAAGGAGCCACTGCGAGAGAACAACGCTTCAGGCGGACAGTAATACCTCCGGACGGCTGGAAGGAGAAGAGGCAAAAACAGTTCGCCCTGAACAAGAATTTGAGTTCATGATATTCGCCGCCCGGTGAGCTGGGCGATGGAGCAGATGCTCTGCTAACACACGGCGTGAAAGCATCGTGGGCACCATCAGCCAGCGGCACCAGGAGACGAGAGACGAGAGACGAGAGGGACAGGAGAGAGAGTTCAGGTCATCGCCAACCATGGCGCCATTGTCTCGTGGTGCTAGCTGTGTAGTGCTTAGCCGAAGAGTTTTCGGGAGCTTAAGTCTGCGGCTTCCCAAGATGAGATGCACCCACCCAAAAGTCTCGGCGCCTTCCACAGAGAAGCTACACGCACAAGTCCCCCAAGTTACCATGGGTAAGTACCTACGTGCCTACTAAGGTAATAACCAGGTACCTACGCTTCGTCAAAGTCTTCTGCGTGTGTACTTAAGGTACTGAACTTGTCGTCACTGTGGAGGTTTGCATTTGGACCAACAGCAGCATCAGCACAGGTCTTAGGTTCAACTGCTGTAAGTGTTTGTATTACCGAGGATCATCTTGGGTACTTTGGAGTAGAACCCCACTGCGATGCGCTCCGGGCCTCCCAAAATCGTAGGTGAGAAGACGGCGGACATGGCCCATACCTTTGCACGCAAAATTGCCGTTCAAATCGCCGATTATAAGGTATGTACCTTACCTTACTATCGCCAACTGCAGTGCTTGTCTAGGTAGTCAGATAAAATACTCTTTGAACTGTATTCAGTTACCACAGGCCCTACCTAGGTAGTACCTAGGTAGCATTTGGAAAGCTTTGGATTGGTATCCCTTTCACATCCAGCAGCCCTGCTGTTGTCTGGCAAGAACGACTTGCATAGACAGCGACGTCACGCGGTCTTGGCCTCGCCATTTCGGAACAGCACATCCGTACTGTGCGCACTGTGCTACCGCAGGTGCAAGTCGGAGCCGGTGCCGCCTGCCGCCAAGAGAATCCAGACATCAACTCCACCAGAAAGATTGAATCTCGTTGGTCAGGACTCTGGACAACTCACTTTGCTCTTCTGCAGCTCGACTCAAGCCCAGGTTGCAGAATAAGCCGGGCATGGCTGTCGTTTGCCTGAGGGTTTGGCCATTGTTACTATCACGGACAATTGCAAGGATCAGAAGCATTCCAATCACCTTCAGCAGAAGCTGAAAGCGAACTTCAACAGACCGACTGCTAGCGTTCGGCGAATCCACCAGACGACTAAACGGCCAATTCCCAAAGACCCAGCTGGAGCCTTTGACTATCGCCAGTGCCTTGGGGTTCTTCGGCCGCTTGGCTGCCATGCTATCGGTCCCGCCTGCTCGGGCATGGCGGCGATGGAGGCTTCGGCACACTTGGTGGCTGGGCTGGCACAAACTAGGTGTGTACTACGGCATTGTGCAAGAATGGCAACGGGGAAACCGGTCGGTGCATTACCTCTGCAGACAAGTCTTCGCCGCTTCTTCGTCCTGCCCATTTGCTGCGTTCCCTGTCCTCTCTCTTAAGCCCACGTTGGGTAACGCGGCCAAGGTGAAAAGCAGGCAGACGGCATGTGCTAGGCCAGGAGGCCCTGGAGGCTGGTCCCAAAGGATTGCTCTGGTAACGACACACAACTGGTCCTCACAGGCTTGCGCACCAAAATGCTTCGTCCCACGGCCTCAACCGTTGGCTTGGGCGCTGGCGCGCCACGCTCGGTCTTATGCTGCCGGTCTGTCTCTGGCTCCTACGGCGTTGAGGCAATGCCTCTCAGCTCAATCATGATACAGTCCAAATGCTCCTGGTCAATGCGCGCCAAGGCTGCGCTTTTGCCTTGCCCTGCGTCTGGGTTAACGTTACGGGACAGTGTCCAGCTCCCCGGCGTCATTTGTACTGACGAGTGTGAGCTTGTGCCTGTGCAGAGGACGTGCTGCGGCGAGGGCATCTGCCGCCAGAGCCAGCAACGGCGATTATCCAGCGGTCTCGCCTATCTCTTTAATTTAAACAAACCCCTGAACCACCGGAAGTATCTCGTGGTTGATACCTGGATCTCCAACAGCACTTCCTATCTTCGTGCTAATTTTCAAGCAGGGTCGTGGTCAGCAAGCTCGTGCCGCTCAATGGCCTTGCAGCAGCGTACAGTACGAATGGGCCTCTGCTTGTGCTGCTCCAGGGCTGCTGATCTCCGGGTCCCTCGTCTTCGAGAAGCCGGCCAGAAACTTTGCGGCCGTCTCACAACTAGCACTTCAATGTACAGGCACCTGCGAGCTGGAGCAGTGGCACTCTGGATATGCGAAAAAGGCCGCCTCCACGCAGATCCTACCGCGGAAATCGGCAGCCGCACCATTTGACACATGTACAGGTACAGGTATCGGCCGAGCGATGCGTGGAGCATCCGTACGGAACTCACGTACATGCTCCGTCCCCAGTAATGCTCCGTCCTGTCGACATGGAGATCACCATATCACGACCTTTCCTACCTACGTCCAGTGCCTAATGGGCGAGCAATGAATCATTGCTGAAGCGCAAGGACTGGGCAGACAGTTGGGCGAAGCGGAATGCATCCGAATTGGCGAAGCGCTTCTCATTGACAGGCAGCCCTGATCTCCAGAGAGAGAAAAAAAATGATGCTATCTCGAGTCAGTCACCGGATCCCCAGCTGTTGTCCTGAATAGGCCACTGACCCGTACGAGGGCCATCATAGCTGGTTTGTCTCTGCTTGCGCTAACCATGGATTGCATGACATCTCAGCCACTCCTCCTCGCCTGGCCCCGCCGTCATCGAGCGCGTTCCTGATCTGCAGGAAATGAGCGACAGCTTCGGGTTTGTTCAATCGTCTCACTATTCCAAGATACGAGGTTGCACCCTTCCTCCAGCAGTTAGGAAGCCATCTTAGCTCGGTATTGCCCTTGGCTGCGCAGAACCTTTTGCAGACCCAGAAGCAGACTACAGCCCTGAGCCCTGCAAGAACAACACTCCGAGGCGCGGCCAAAATGCAAGGCTCGGCTTCCTAGCCGCAGCCCACTCTGGGCACAAGGTAAGCCAATTGAGGGCTCGGACAAGAGGTTCGCGACGGAGGCAGCCAACCTGCCGGTGCCCCTGACGTCGTCTTCTTCCATCAGGGATCTCGACGAGTACTATTATTCTTCACCTGGCGCGGGGGACGGTGTTTGCCCTCTGTGAAAACCCACAACCAAAGATCCACCGCTGGTTTGGGCCCCCTGCATCGTCTCGATTTCAACACTAATGGACTGCCACCGGTGCAAGGAGGCTCCTGAGTCAGCATTCTATAAGCTGGAAGAGCATCGAAGATGCTGTGTCAATCTTCTTGCGGCAGGCTTCGGCTGGTGTTGCCCACTGAGGCATCCCAGCAGATGGCGCTGCACGTAAAGGGGCACGTGGCATTGATATTGCTCCGTCGGGCTCTACGGACTGTTCTCTCCTTCTATGACGTCCTCTACTTCATTGCAGCCTTCAACCGTCCATAAGAAGTATCATTTCTGTGCCCCGGGCGAGGCAATGCCGACGTACGAGGTATCACGGTCTGAGACGGTCCGAGACCCTTGACGATAGGCGCGCACATCGCTCATAAACATATATCGCTATGCGTGGTCCATCAGTGGTGGTTGTTACCTGTCGCATACAGAAGTCTTGACGCACTGTTGCTACTATGTTTAGCACCCATCTAATTACTTGTTCGTGCTTGACACGTCGTTTGACAGGTCCAAAGTCTGACAACCACCTCGAAACGACAACAGATCCGCGCTTCCAGTTGTTGTGAAAGGCGCACCTGAGCTCAAAACAAAAGCAGAGGCACCACGTTTCATGGCCCACGCAAGTCCCGAACAGAGCCCAGGGAGCTCCCAGGGGTCCTGTCAACTTTTGCTCAGGAACAGGTCTAGATCTAGTTGATAGCGAAATTATCGTGGACGCGAAGGATATTCTAAAACCTCGTGTCCCAAAATGGCCTCTGGGGCTGCACCAAGCCGCTCCCCGCGCTAACAGGACGGTAGCCCCCTATTTCGGCCGACCATATTCGGGGTATCAAGCCACTCAAATTCACCAGCCGCGAGGCATGTATTCATGATCATGACGGCAGGAAGAAGCGCAGCACGGCGACCACAAATGGACGAATGGACGAATGGACGGTGGACTGAGTACCTACGTCGTACACCGACCCGTTCGAAAGTTGTTGCCCGATTGGAGCATGTCCATTGCTGGGGATATCGGCTTCCTCAATCTCCTAACCCTGCGGTAGTTGCCGGGGGGAACCTTCGATCACCTACAAAGCATGTATGTATTACTACTTGGTTTGCCGATGCTGTCTTCCCTGCGTTGCTGACCATATCACAATGCCATGACATACCCTGCCGGTATTCACCAAAGCCATCCGCTAGTAGTGGAATGCCGTGACCAGTCATGATGCCGTGCTGGGCAATCTCTATCTTCCACCCACGAACCCTATGCTGCGACATGTCTCACTGTGATTGGCCTTGCAATGCGAGCCGCCGTCGGGCTTGGTCCAATGCTCGCTGATTTCAGGGTAGCTTCTAGAGGGTGGCATCAGACAAGACTGGCAGACTCAGGCTCTGCAGAATGCATACAACATCAAAGAGGTGGTATTCACTTGGCTCCTCGGCGGAGAGAAAATGGCTTGCCGCAACATAGCTCATCTGACATTGGGGTGCGACATGGCAACACAGTGAGTCAGACGACGACCCGGCTGTGCAAGTGACGAGGTACTTTTGACTGCATCTCTGATACCTACTCCGATGGCCGCCAAGATAGGCGCGTACTTCACCTTTGAGGAACCATAGGAGATCATACCAGGCTGCCGGTCTGTATCGCGATTGTCTGGAGAAGGCATGTCATTTGATGAGAAAAGGGTGAGCTGTCTGAGCTTCCGTTCTTGTTGCAGCTTACACAGCCCTACTATTCCACTTCGCATGAAACGCCAGAGCCACACTGTGAGTTGGCCGGAGATTTTCTGCCACCAGTTGAGGACGACCTACTCAATGCGGTTTATGCGGACGCCGAGACTGCGATCACCACCGGATATCGCCCACTAATTCAGGAACTGCCCGCGAGATGGAGGAGTAAGGAGGAGGTCTCCGAATTACAAGGGAACCGCCGGCGTTCAACTCCGTGAAGGCCCATGACATTCTTCAGAATGACGTTGACTTGGACTGGGAATGGACACTCCGTCAGGTTTGCCACCGTCTCTCCACGGGGAAAAGGGCACTGTGGCGCTGCTGTCGCTATGCAGGTCGAGCACCGTCGATCTTAGACCTCCGTTGCGTGTGAACGAGGGATCCCGAGCAAACGGAGTCATACAACTACCTACTGAGGCACTGCGTCCAGGCTCTGTATCCGAGACTGTTGAGAGGAGCGTGCCAAAGGCCAGTCGAAGCTAGCAAAGATTTTCACATTCACTTCCGCCCAGGTAAGCGGGCCGAAAGAAGGGCAAAAAGGGCGAAGCCACAGCCGGTCCAACGAAAGGACGGAGGGAACGGAGATTTTGCACAAAGGAAAAGGAAGAGGAAGCTTAAAGGAAGAGGGCAAGCGTTTTGAAAGCACTAGAAAAGAGGAGAACTGCAACGTTTCATGGCTCGCCACCGAGAACCGACTCGCATCATGCTTGTGTCTCGGCAATACTCCCTTTGCATCGACACGTGTGCGCTAATGGGCGAAGCAATACCCAATGAAGGGACAATTCCAGGTCTGCTGCTAAAGATATCTCGCTGCATCCTCCTGCGCGCACCAGCCGCTCACAATATGTATGTACGACGGCATGACAGAGTGACAAGAGACGGGCAATCTCTCTAGACTGGGGGCCTGCGGGATTGGATATCCGATATCCGGACGTACGTGCATGTACATTTCTGTTGGTTGTGCTGCTCGGATGAGGAAAAGGTCTTGCCGGTGTCTGGCTACGCTTTGGAGAACCTGCTGCGGATTATCATGCAGGGCCCTCATCGTCCAACAAGCCCAAGGCCAAGACGACCACGGGGCGTCGCATCTCGCTTTCGATCTTCATAAGAGTATGAAGGGTGTACCACTGCAGCCAGCACTGTTTCGATTCACCTGACCAGGGCTGGGACAAGATTGTCAGATCTTCGGAACAAGACGAAGAGCTGCCATAATCGCAAGTACTGATTCTACGCAACATGCACACGTGCTCGCGGCGTCCTACGATCTTGCCTGCGGCGGGAGAGCCCAGCATTCACAGGGACAGGGCAAGAGAGGCCACCGCGGACGCTGAGATTTGAGATCGTGTTGCCGCCTGCTAGTAGTATGAGGACCTGCACCGCAGCAGCAGGGAGGTGCCATTACGTACCTGTGCGATAGCCGGGGGAAGGATTGTCTTACCATATGCTGCCTGTGCTGTCTTACCCGGCCGCTGCAGCTAGATGCGCCTCCCCAATCACTGTCCTGGACGATGCGGTCATTGTCTGACGACTGGCGGGAGAGTGCGTATTGGGCGCATTTGGAGAATCCTATCAGAAGTTGCTTCAGCTCGCTTGGCCACGGTTCACGACATGGAGCGGTGAGAATGGGAGGCTCGCGCACGCCACAGAGAAGGACGAAATCATCGCCTTTGCTGCTGCTCCGTCCTCGCACGCATCCTTTCAATAGTCTGGTCCCTTGCGAGACCATGTCCTCCTGCTGGTGTTGCTGGTTGGCCTGTCCTGCCCTGCAGGGTTGGAGAGGTAGGCTGATGCAATGCATGATGGCCTACATGCGCATGCACAGTGATCTGTGTGATGTCGAGCCAAGGGCGGCATACCAGCACGTCAGCACCCTCTCAGTCTCTCCCTTGCTCACAGGCCACTTCCGGAAGCATTGCAAGAATATGCGAGGCCCCCAATGGCCGGGATCGGTGCGCTGTTGCTGCCAAACCAAGATTGATTCTGGCTCTTGCGTTCTGTATCGATTTCCGATCGACTCTGTCTCAGCAGATGCTCGGGGACGATGGTTGATAGAAGTATCTCTAGAGGGCCACTTTTTGCCGTCTACAAGATGCACGGCTGGTGTGGGGGAAGACGAGCAGTTGAGCAACCAAAGTCAACGGGTGATCACTTGCAGACGGTCCGATAGCTCTTGGTTCTGCTGTGTGGCGTGGTCGTTGCAGCGGAGGTGCTACCTTAGATAACCTATGCACCCTAGTCTAACATAACCTATGCTCTACTTTTCTAAATTTTTTACTATATTAAATAACCTTATATAACCTATACTTTCTATAATTTAATTAGCTAAAATTTTTAAAAAGTAAAGTATAGGTTATATTAGCTTTTATATTAAAGTTAAATACCTCTTTAATATAATACTAAAGCTAAAATAAATATATCCTTTATAAAATCTTATAAGTTTATTATAAATATATTATAAATATATTTATAATAAATTTATTTTAAGCTTTTACTAGTCCTTTTTTTAATAATAATAAGTTTAAAATTTTACTTAATATTTAGCTTTTAAGGCTTTTTATTATAATAATAGTAAGAAAAAGC